TAATATGAAATTTACTTGGTAAAACTCTACTCTTGAAAATTATTGTAACAGGTTATTTAAATAATAGCATGTATCTATGATAATAATTAATCAATTTATGCAGAATCATAGAAAGCTTTAATAGAAAGTGTGACTGGAGTTTGCAAAAAAAATTTGAGGTTATTAGAATATGTCTCACCTATTGGAATAGGGTTTTATTTGTCACTTAAATACTCTTATCCGCTGGATTAGTCAAGACTCGAGATCGTGGATAGAATACGGTGGTCTCTAGGGCAGCTTTTTACCAATGATCAAATGGAGAAGGTCAGAATCCCTTTTGGGGAAAAACGTGCAAAGCAAAACTTACCGAAATGGTTTTAAAAAATCTGAAATCATCGGCGAAATTATGGCACTTTACGGAAACGTAACGCAACGTGAGGCAAGTTAATTTATCATAACTTCAATTAGTGAGAAAGTTAGGTCCAAAGTCCCTTTTAGGGGGAAGACAAAAATTTATTTTTTCTAAAGAAACCAAACCGTAAAAGAAAGGTTCACCACAAGGAAATTATTAGCTGTCCTAGATTTGAAGAATAGAGATGAGGCAAAGTAACGACAAATGTCAAAAATAAATCGGGGAAAATTTCACGCTACAGAAATTGTACGCAACAATATAATCAGACAAAAATTACATCAGCTGACGACTAATGATAACAACAACTAGTAATAAACCACTATTTCCGGTGCCTATTAGTATTGGATGTAGATAATTTAAGATTCAGAACACATATAAATAATCGCATTAAAAATGCGTTTACTAATCTAAAACCTATACGTGCCTGGCAAGTCAACATCTTACAGGCCAATTTTAATGCAATAGAATGAAATGTCTAGAGAGTCTAAGGTTGAATAAAGAACGAAAACGATTTCCCCTGTTCCACCTCTAGCATTTCCAGCGCTTTATGCTGGAGGTGGAATAGGGTAAATCGTTTTCGTTCTCTATTTAACCTTAGACTTTTTCTAGACATGTCATTCTATCACATTAAAATTGGCATGCCAGGCGTGTAAATACCCAACGTCAGTTATTAAATTATGTAAAACTAAAAAAAAAAAAAATTGGGACAGCTTATTTTTGTTACAGGTTGCATTTTGTGACGTGATATATGACGCTATCTTTTGAAATATGATGCGATACGTATTCAGCGTATTCCAAACTACTGTGTCCAGTTAATTTGCATAGTATAAGATATGATAGAGGTGAACCTGCAAAAATGAAAGAAATTGAGTGGCTTTCGATGAGAGAAAGATGATACCTTCATAGTCCAGTATTATTTAATGTAATAATATTTGAAAAATGCTCATATGCTCATAACCTGAATATGATGCATAAAGAATAAATATACCTTTGGCTTTGCACAGTATTTACCGCGTAATATGGAAGATCACCTAGTAACCAAAGTTGTTCTGATAAAGTTCCAAGAAGTTTAAAAGGACTCATCATCTTCAAGTTTAAAAATGTAATTTGTAAAATCATATCATTCTTAATTACGAATCATTATTTTTTGTCGTCGTGTTCTGGATGGTCTACAAGTTGTGTTGCCGGTTGCCGGGGATTTCTTTCAGGGCTTGACAAGTTGTTTCAGTGACAAATCCTGTGGCGCCAATCACAACAAAGATTATTTTAGGTTTCATTGCCAACATTCTTCCTACTCTGATCTTCAAGTCTCTGTACTTTATGTTCTACTCTTCCTTTCTTTTGAACAATTTTATGATCAGGAGCGATGGGGACATCAATCAGCAGGCATGTTTCTGCTTTTTATATTTTAATATCAAATCCATTTTTGTTTGCTTTAATGAGCCTGTTTGTGTGGATCTATGTATTCCATATTAGTGTTATTTTTTCATTATTTACGACAGGTTCAGGCTCATGACGGTACCATTTGTCCTTTAGGCTTTGCATATATGCCAATGAAGTGGGGTAGCGACGGTATTCTGCGTTTTCACATATTCTCTTTTCGCTAGGATAGAGCATCCCGCTCGGATATTTTAAAATGGTCTCATAATTCTACAGTTTGGTTCATTATCGGTTTTGAGAATTTTTGGTTGATGTAGTTCGTGCAGACTGCCTGCTCCAGAGCTGCTGTTATGAGTGCTTTAGTTTCAACTTTCAGATCACCACTCCTCATAATCATTGCCATGACTCTTCCGAATGTACATACAAACTCACTCCTTTTGAATTCCTAATAGAAACTGTCTATCCATATGTTTTGTCCTTCAAGCTTTTCATTCTTTCCGTTGCTGTTTTGCCCGATTTATCCGCTTTTGTAACATTCGCTACGCTATCTTACTTTTTCATTTCCAAATATATGTCTGGGACCTGAATTGCGGAATTGAAACTAACTTCGATGTATGTCAGTCCCCGTCCTCCTTCTTTTCTTGGCACATAATCCCTGGGCATAATCTCTAATTTGCCGATGTTTTCTTATGTTCAATTTATTATGCCAAAGCTGTGTTGTAGTACGGGAATGGCTAAGGTTCTTATGGCGCTGATTTTGTTTTTGGAGCTGTAGTGTATTTAATTTTGTTAAGTTTGTTCGACAAATAACATTTAACTGGGAACTGCCCCCACCAATACATATGGGTGGGAATGTTTAACTAGATCCGCAAAATTGTCATTCTTTATCATGTGCTCAATAGATTAAAAAGTAATCAGTAAATTCTGTGCTTTTCTATTAGCCATCGAAACTTAAGAATCACCAAAATATAGTAATCAAAGATATTACAGGAGCCTATTTCGCTTTTTAGTAATTCTCTCGTTTTAGGTATTCTTTGGTTAATTTTGGTTTCATCTTGTCGTTGCTTGGGTCTTAATTTTCTTCAATTCCAAGGTATTTAAACTGCTCGCCCTGTTCTAATGCTCTGATTGATACACTCTCGTCAATTTAAGTATTCTAACGTTCAACCAGTTTTCCTCGTTCGAAAGTGATCTTTGCGCATTTTTCGATCCTCAAATTTCACTAAAACTATTTTCAGTTGGGTTTGAAGTTCTTGATCACTCTTCACCTCTAGCCTTAAACCATCTATGTTATCTCTTACCTTTCCACTCTACATGTTTCCGCTATTTTAAACGGATTTGATTTGACTACTGTTCTGTTCAGTCAATTTAACAGGAGGTCCGTAATACGCTCAGTTTGCTCAGCGAATAATTATTAGGGTAAGTCAATAGTTTAATAAGTACAGAATCGCAAGGGCGCCACTAACTTCAAAAAAAATGGATTAAATTAGGTACATAAAATATTCGGGTATAGTCAGCAAGCGATAATTGACAATTCTGAAAAGGAAATAAATAGGGCATATAACTCAACCAAATCTTGATACAGGTAAACCAATAAAACAATTAAGTGAGTTTCAAATTAAATTAGTGTATATTTTCACAGTCAGTCAAAAATAAGGTATTAAATTTTAAAAGATGTAATCAATTGTTGGTGGAACAATTTAAATAAATTTAATAAAAATAGGTTAACCCTCAATCAGAATCATCAAACTCCAGAAAAAAATAATATTACAATGTACATCAATATAGTTGCCATATAAGTTTATTAACAGTCGCTGGCCTTATTATTGATTTGAAATAAAAACATGGAGGATTCAAGTTTCCAGAAAATCAATAAAAAAAGAATGAATGAATGAAAATTATAATACTAAATGGATAAATATGGTCAGCTGCTGCCAGAAAAATAAATTCAATAAAATCAACTTACACCTGTATGAAATCAAAAGTTGTGTTAAATGGTCAGGAGATATAATAGAAATCCTTAAATATATAGGTAAGGATAGGACCCATACGATGTAGGTATTAACTCTACATTCCCGAAATATGGCAATTTTAAAAGTTAAGTAATGATAAATCTATAATAAATTCGATAAATCGAAAATCCATAAAAGCAATTATTCAACCATCATGTCGGTGTCAAGAAAGAGGAAAAAAAAAAAAATGAAACGTTATTATTGAAATTTTTGCAAGCCTCCATTCCAACAAAAGGTGGATTCGTTAAGAGAAACGGCACCTCGGAAAACAGCTCCTCGGAAAAACGGCTCCTCGGAAAAACAGCTCATGGGAAAAACGGCTCTTCGGAAAACCCTAAGTAACAGGCATTCCATGAAAAATCATTACTTTGAAAAAAATTAAAGAGGACTTACCACGAGGAGGTTCGAAATTCAAACTTAAATAAAACGGTAAACACAAAACTTTCGATTTAAATTTTTTTCGGTATTTAATGGATTATTGCCTTGCGCAACTTTATTTCGTTAAAACAGTGCCTGATGGCCGATAAGGTATTTTTCTTCACGAGAACGGTAATCACACTTGACGAAGATGGATGCCCCCCAGGCCAGAGTCGACCTATCAAGGGAACGGCAAAATTAAAAAGCGCCGAGGAAAGAAATGGACAAGATGAACCGACAGAGGTGCCTTTTAAAAATAGTCAACGGAAAGTCTTGGTAGGTACTAAACTGGTACTTCAAACTTAAACGAAAATCGTGCCCTCTAGTTTAATAATTGCTAATATTATTAGCAGCAGAAACCTTTTTTTTTAATGCCATTCACCACACTGTCAACATTAAAGGTAAAAATCCAACTAATAAAATTATATTTGAAAGAAAAAGGAACAATTACTAAAAAGTTAGCAATTTTTTTCTGAATCCTTCTTGTTTTTCCTGCCTTTTTCTTATTCGGGTCTTCTCCATTTTTTCCCTTTTGCTTTACCGAAAACTCATTGAATTTTTCTTTTCAAACAAATCAAGTTCTAAAAATAAAAAAATAAAAATAACAGCTGTCGTGTCGTCTTGAGCACACACTGTAATTCTTTTTGTGTCAAATCAATATAGCTACATCAGAGATTCATTAAGTTAGTTATGCTGTCTTGAATCTTGAATATTAATATAACTAATTCGTTTTTTTCAAATTGTTGTAGTAGAATCTGAGTTTGCAAAGTTCTTTTAGTATTTCAACGCACCAAAAAGCTGCGAAATGCAATTAAAACCTTTTTCAAATTTCCAACTTCAAAACTCGTTCATAAAGGGGAAGTCTCAAGCCACGCGCTTTTTTATTGAGAAGATTATGAATTGAAATACCCCAAATAACTGACTTCCTTGAGTGCGTTTCACACCACACAGAAAATTTGCAACAACTTGAGTCTTTACCCAATTTTAATCATAAACTTCTTGTTAGGTACTTAAACTCAGCTTTGTTTGTTTTCTACAATATAACTCATAATAATATACCTATATTTCAGAATTAAATGAAAACATCCTGCAGGTTCTCTATGAAGTCCGGGAACAGAATTCCCAAATAATGAATATACTGCAGGAAAAATTTTCAAAACCAACCGGAGAAATACCAAAGCTTCCTGTGGAATTACCTCTCAATAAATTGGGGGATTTAACCCTGTTGGAAAACTTTTTAAGGGGTTGTGAAAATAACCTGTCCAGTCTGGTATGTATTGAATGATACCATAGACATAAATTCTACTGATTTTTATTTTTATTTGTTTAGGTGCTTTACTTGACCACTATTGGAGGAAAAGACCCCACATCCAAGACCAACAGAATCCTGAAATTTTTTATCACTGATGAGTTGGCCAGCTATTTCAGCTATTTGGGAAAACGGAATAAACGACCTTTCTGTGGACTTCATTTGAATGATGTTATTATTCGTGAGTGTTAACATTTTATTTTATTTTTCTTGAATTTATCCATTGTTTTTTTTTTTAGGGGCTGTAAAAAAGTCTGTCGGTAACATATCCAGTGCTGACGTGGAGGAAGTTATTAAAATCTGGCTCAAACACGCTCCTCAACGTTGTGCCAAAAAGAAATAAATTCATATACATGTATTGTATGTTGATATAATACTTAATACATACTTAATTTTATTTAAATGTGAATAGGAATATAAACATATTTATTTTATTTATTAGGTGCATCTTGCACACTTGGAACAAACCCAAAATTATAAGACTATGCAAGACAATACCCTTAGAGATTTCAAACTTCTCACGTGCGGTAATAACACTTTGAAAATGTTTGGACCCATGTATTACAAGTTTACAACGAATCAGTAACGATCACATCTATAACTCAGTGTTCCTTTTTAGCTGTTACCGGAAGAATTTATTTCACTCCAGGGAGAAAGCACCCAATAATGATTCTGGATAATTTTGAATACAAATTACAATACCGCACCGACGCCAAAAGTATCTGGAGATGCACCCAAGCTGGTGGTAATTATTTATGCAAAGCCAAGTTTATGTCATTTGGTAAAACGATTCGGATCAAATCGGTGGCACATAGCCATGGACCGACTTTTCACGGCGATCATCGTACATTGAGGTCTCAAGCTGTTACTGTGGAGTTTGGTGACTTTAAAAGCCTTCCTACGGCTCTCAAGAAATAATTGTTGACACATTGTATATAAATGGGAATATTCGGGAAGTGGGAAACATAATTTGTCTTAATTCTATAAATATTCGTTAATATATTTTTCCGAAAATAGATTTAAAAAAATTGATAACATTTTTAAAAGAGAAGGTCAATATATCCTTTCACTTAGTCGTGGCCAGGGAATGGAAGGTGACTGTAAGAAAATGTCATTTCAACAATTTTTGATATAATTTTATTTTCGAATTTCAATCCCTAATAAAATATTCCATGGCATCCTTAACTGATTTGTGAATAAATTTAATAAGGTTATCTCGAAATTTTAATAAGTTGATTAAAATGATCTATGCCCTTGGATAATTTTCACTTTTCGGAAAAATTCTACCTATGTTTACCTGGTAGGAAATAGTATATTAAAATACAAGTTGCAGAAGGCCACATATTCCCGCACGAATTCGAAATTTGACCACGAGCGACGAAGGAGCGAGTGGCCGAACGAATAAGTGCGAGAATAGCCTTCTGCAACGTGTATTTTATACTATTTTCTCGATTTTGAATTTTATTTTCCAATTTTTCAAATTTTTTTGTGGGTGCTGTTAGTTGGAGATTTTTTATTTTCAAAATATGTCAGTTGGTGACACTTACTTACCAGCCAACTGATAGGTGGATTCTATCATTTTAGAAGGTTTAACAATTTTGAAGGTACCAATAGGTATACTTTGAAAAATAAATGAATGAGCTTCATTCTTCAATGATTTTGCGTGCGGGAATAATGACATTCTCACATCAAAAATCAAAATCGAGAAAAGAACTCCGGACTCCCTATAGCCAGTCTCGCCTTGCGTCTTGACAATGTTCAAGTTTTCCGTCCAGGTTAACAATATACTATCTGACTTCATCACGAGTATTGAAATAAATGATAAAGTAGACCACTTAGTGCCTCGGCTGGAATTTGATTGCATTTCAATGAACCAAGGCATCAAATAGTACTCCACTGCTCTATTGAACACAGCTTTGTCCATTATTTTATTTTATATCAATATTCAATAAAATATTAACATAGTTTTGGTAGTAGTCGTTATTCGAAACAAGTTCATGGTAGCTGTTTCAACGTTGCAACCTCATTTTCTAGACAATAATTTGACACATCTGTTTTTTTTGTTAAATAAATTCTTGTTAGTATTCGTCATCTCTATTTATTCAAGAATTTTTCAGAAACGTATGCTATCAAAATCGAAGAAGAAAGTGACGACGAAGATGTAACAGAGCCAGAAATAGCTGAATTGGCAAAAAGCATGGAGTTAAATTCGCTTCCGGAAAAGTCGAGAGAAAAGTATGAACAAACCTACAAGAAGTTTATGAACTATCGGATTGACAAGAAGATCGAGTCCATTTCTGAGGATATTTTAATAGCATATTTTGCACAAATGAGCCGTAACAGTATAGCTTCAACCTTGTGGGCTTCCTATTCGATGTTGAAAACCACTCTTAATGTGAACGAAAATGTTGATATATCCAGATATTTGAAGCTGAGAGCTTTCTTGAAGAAAAAATCTCTTGGCTATCAAGCCAAAAAATCCCGTGTTCTAGAAATGGAACATATTGAAAAATTTCTGCTGGAAGCCCCAGATAAGGACTTCTTAAGTACAAAGGTATGATTGTGAAAATGGCTTGGAAGTAATTTAAAAAAAATCTGTATTTTTTAAATTATTTCAGGTTGCCTTGGTTTTTGGTGTTGCCGGGGCATGCGGAGGCCAAGAACTGGTTCGATTGAAAATAACTGATATTGTGGATATGAATGACAAACTCTTAGTCACGTTACCTGTCCCAAAAAAGACTAGGTCTTTTTTGATAACTAAACATTTGGATATTTACAGAAAATACACCGCAGCTAGACCGCCAGGCATGAATTCCCCAAGATTTTTTTTCAAATACGCTGCTGGGAAGTCCTACAAGCAGGTCATAGGTATTCATAAATTTGGAAAGATGCCCCAAGAAATTGCGAAATTCCTAAAATTACCCAATGCAATAGAATATACAGGACACTGTCTTAGAAGGACATCTGGTGCTTTGTTAGCAAAAAGCAATAAGGCACGCTTGCTGGCGGTGCTCTAATCAAAAAAATAAAATCACGAACAAGACAGATCAAAATTCTTTAAATTTTATTAGAAATAATTTAAATAGCTCGTAGAATGTATGACGTATGTACTTAATAGTTCTGTGAAGAGTGTAGGTACCTTATTAATATGTAATTTAGCTGTTATATTTTCGAGGAGATAGTTTTTTACAATAAATGTATGTTAATATAATATGTTATGTTAAATAAAAAAGGTGAATATATTTATTATAAGTAAAAGTGACACCTCATTGCCCTTACTGAGGCAGCAAAACAAGTAGTTTTGTGACAGTCAAAGAAATAGTACCTACATTGTTTATTTAGGAGAGAAACTAATATATTCTCGACTGGCGGTGTAAATTGCTAAATGAAACTTTCAGTTGCTTAAAACGGCTGATTGAGAAAAAAAAAAAAAAAAGTTGATATAGGTACGGATATAGCACCCAAGAAACAAACTTCAAATAGGATTATCGAAATGACATCCGTTTTTGATGTTCAGACCATTTGAGTCGGAAAAAATCTTCGTTGTATATCTTTTCTTGAAAGGCACGCGTTTGCTATGTTATTGCTAATTCACATGTCACTGACGAAAATTCTTTCAATTCCATCATAGAGACTGTTTGGTGATAGCCAACATAAAATCTTTCGTTAGCTTCATTCGATATTTCTTGATGAAAATACCGGACTGTATTGACTGCTGATCAATCATTTAATGTGCGAAAGCGCATCGATATGTTCTTAAGGTGGTATGATGTTTTCTTCAAAACTCCTAGCATGCTTATTCTTCAGAAGACTAGGTGGGTCTGGATTGTTGGTCATAATTTTATTCCATCTTACGTTGCCAATTCTGAAAATAGAGTTCACCTGCGAAGTAAAACATCTCGGTCTTCCTAAACATACGGCGTATAAAAGACTAGAAATGGAAGAGTCTACACAAGGACAAAAAGGGTCTTGGTAGCATGACTTGAGTAGCATACTTTTGCATGAGATTCAGAGGCTCATATTTTTACTTGCCACTTGCCACCCAGCCAACTTGAAAACTAATTGTTTTCACGTGTCAGCTCAAACTCATACAAGTGTTTGGATAACTTACTGACAGTGAAGTTTTTCTAGCCTAAGGTTCTAGGAATTCAAGATGAGATTATGTTGATTCTTAATGTAATGATTAGGTTGCGAAAATGGCTTTCGAATAATCCCTATTTTGTGGACGTATTTGAGATAGATAGTAATGGTCAACTTCCAAATATTTTACAGCTAGTTGAAGCTCACCAAAGCCAGGCATTTGGTATTTTCTCGAATGTAGCACAGGACTCAATTTATTACCCCATTAAGACTGTTGATCCAGATTCTAGAATCTCCAAACGACTAATTCTATCTGTGTCTACTCATATCTTCGATCCACTAGGTTTATTGGGTCGCATTTTAGCAATTTTCAAATCAATTTTGCAGTCTCTGGCAAGAATTTTTATCTTGGTATCAGTCAATTCCACAATGTCTCGCTGATTCATGAATTGAATTTCGTACCAACAGGTATATACTCCTCGTTCACACTCTTAGTGATCAGTTTTACAAATCCATGCCTTTGAAGGCATATGTCGGAAGTGTATATATAGTTTGTTTGCGGTGTGCGGAATATATTTCTTTTCATCTCATGGTATGATGTCATCATAATCATCATAAGCAGTCCTGTCGCGTCTACTTCTGAACATAGGCCTCCCCTTCCAATTTCCATCTCTGACGGTCTTGTGCAATATGTTGCCATCCTCACCCTGCCCTCCGGTAAATGTCATCCATCCACCTCTTTTGGGGCCTCTCTTTGCCGCGTTTGTGTGTTCTTGGTCTCCACTTCATGACTATTATTGTCCATCTGTTGTTCGGTTGCCTCGCCACGTGGCCTGCCCATCTCCACTTTGCTTCTGCTATGCATTGGATCACATTGTTCACACCCGTGCGTCGACGTATCTCGTAGTTGTTTATCTTGTCTCTCAGACTAATGCCTAGCTATGCCCCTCTGAGTGACTCTCAGTTTGTACTTTTTATGGTTAGTGTCATGGCTTCCAGGCCGTACTTCAGTACAGGGAGTATGCACATGTCATGCACTTTTCTTTTCATTTCTGTTTTCATGATATTCCTATATCTGGATATTTGGATTTAGGTATGATGTAGCTCCTGTACTGTTGGTTTGTTGTTAAACGAGGTGTTATTGTCGAGTACGATGATTGTTGATAATCAAATACACTTAAAGTCTTTTTTTTAAGATAAAAGTCAAAATGACATTATGTTGGCAATACAATGTGAAAATGTCAATGCTTTTAAATTTTTTATGCGGAAAAGGCTTGTGTTGCCAACATAGTTACTAAATTTTTGACTTGGGGAATTATCTTTAAAAAAAAAAACAGACTTTAGTTATTTATTGTTCAGCATTTAATTGTTTCAAATTAAATTGTTATCACGTTATCGAACAACATCCTTGACATCACTGATTGATTTCTTTACCCGTCATCACTCAATCTAACTACAGTTAGCGCCATCCATGAGCTAATGGAATTATAATATAGAAACAGGATACTACATTCTCCTCCTACTTTAAATATTAACATTAAACAAAAGAATAATATGTATAAGATATTATTTTCAAAATAATTCAAAAATTTCACTCACTGGCCTGTTCGTAATAATCCTGTCTTGGTAGATGGGTTCGAGGTCTTAAATTCATCCTGAATATCTTTGGTTCCTCGAGTTGTATAGATTCATTTTCTTTTATGTCTGAAAGAAAATCCAAATATTTTTCTGACGAGTTACTAGACGATTCCTCAGACTTTTCTGTCTCCACTACAATTTCAATTGGATTGATAGAGTTTTCGAACAAACTGGAGATTTGAAGTAGAGGATTGTTTAGTTCATCATCTTCTGAATATTCGTCGAGGATGTTGGGAGATGGTGCTTCAACATCTCGGAATGTTTCTAAACTTTCTGGAGTTGATGGTAATATGTTCGTGTGTATATTGACAGGCTGACAAGGATTCTCTTTCCAATAAATACTTTTAGGTTCTCCTGTGTTGGTGACTTTCACATTATGAGGATTTAGTATTTCTTTTTCAATAGTTTCTTATATAAACTGCTTGAAAAATTATGCATTTCTTGTTATTATTTTCTCTTCTCTTTTTGCTTGAATACTGGTACCACTAATGTTGATAATCTTGTATGGTTTTGGGTCGAAGAAAAATGTTAAACTATTTGTGCGAATCTGTTCGCATAAAACAAAATCTTCATCTTTGGATGTGTGTTCTTTTGTTCTCCTTTTCTTTTCAGCATAAGTTTTCTGTTTTTGTTTGTTCCTTTTATCGTGAAGTTTCAAATTTTCATCTTGTTTCTATTCATTTATCATTGGTAGGTGATTGTTCATTTTCCTGCCAAAGATAGCTTCATAATGAGACTTTTGGGTAGTCGAATGTGGTGTGCTTCTATAATCGACTGAAAATTGAAAAATTTCAGATTCAAAATGTCCATTTTCGAGATGAGTGCAAAGGAGTGACTTTTTGACAGTTTTCACGAATCTCTCTGCCATGCCATTGGCTTCAGGCCAATAGGGTGTTACCTTCACATGCTTGATACCAAAACTCGTTAAAAAGTTGTCGAGTTCATGACCATTGAATGATGAGTTATTGTCTGATTTGAAACTCATTGGAAATCCAAAAGTGAAAAATATGTTCTCTAGAATTGGTTTCAAATTTGTAAAAGATGTGGAATTGACTATTTCAATCAAAGGATACCAGGGATATTCGTCTACTGTTATGAAAATATACGTTTTGTTGCGGAATGGTCCTGCATAATCTACATCAATGCATTGGAATGGGTAATCAGGCAATAGACTTGATATAATTGGGTCTCGTTGAGTGGATTTAGTGACAGCTTGGCAAGTTATGCATGATATGATAATCGATTCAATTATGATGTCCAGGCTTGGAAACCAAACTTTAGTTCTTAGAAGTTGCTTTGTTTTTGTGATTCCTAAATGACCTTTATGAGCTAGTTCAACTGCTGTTTTCTGTAAACATATTGGTAAAACTAAACGGTTTCCTCTTAGTATGACTTCGTTACTGTATACTAGTTCCTCTTCGATTTTGTTATAAAGACTTAATTCAGGTGATACTAATGTTAAGGCTTTGGGTAGAGCGTTGTTGATGTAAAAATTGACATATTCTTCAACTTTGTCAATTTCATCTGACTGGATGTTTCCAAGAGGGTGCCTGGAAAGATATCCTGACAGAATTATGTTAACTAATTTTAGTAATGTAAGGTAATAATCTGGTATCAGGTTCTTCTTGATTACTATTTAATTTTTCCAAATTTTTCGATTCGTCAATTATACTTATTTTGGAACAAAGTCCAGAATCCTGGAATCCACCTGCTATTATGGCCGTTAAATCATTCATTAATTTTTTTTTATTGGTCGGAATTGTTTCGAATCTGTACAGGTCATTGATACAGCTCTACAGCAGCGTTATACAGAAAATAACAACATCTTAAATAAGC